ATTCAGGATACAGAATTAAACATGCCACAATTAGTAAGATGGCTATGGCCTTTGGGATTTCTGAGGTCATAGATAAATGTTGAGCAGAAATCAAAACAAATCACAGAAAACTGAATTTCTGTACAAAGATAAGTTAAGATGCAAAAGAAGTGTTCAGACAGCTGAGCTGCTCAGACAAATACCACATAATCTTGGGTTCAAATTAGGCTGCACGTGCCTCTTTTAACTGAGTTCTCTAAAATTATCTCCAAACATTTATATGGATGAAGAAAATGAGAAAGCCAAAAGTAGTCCTGTCACTCTGGATGAGCTTGGACAGGAGATGGCTTCAGATAACGAAAGGCTGTCTTAAGCAGTGAAACCAAAATGTCAGGATGCACTTAACCTTATGAGATGGGAACTGCCACTTCCCAACCTGAGCAAGGCTGAAAGGGAGCACAGAGGAAAACAGCTGCAAGAGGGTAAGTGGGTTTAAAGCAAGTGACAGTCCTACAAGCTCACAAAATGAAAGTGTCCAACAGACTGTTGAACTGTTAACCAAGTCAAGCCAAAGTGTAATAAAGTACCACTTGGTATATAACATACACATTATATTACTTAGAAAAAAATCAAGTTAGAAGTATTTTGGCAGATTTTCTATAAAAAATGTCCTGTAGATTTGTTTAAATGGCGAACTTACGTACATAAACTCAAATTGGATGTTTTCATAATGTCATGACAAAAAAATTTGCACATTCTCTCAGCACCTTCCTCATGAAATGTTCAGATCAGCACAGTGTAAAAGCTAAAGTTGGCTGTTTGCTGATCTGGAGCATTCGGTTATGTGTTAAAACAGTGCCACAATCTTCCCAGGAGTGGACATCCTGCAAATTCACCCCAAAGTCAGACTGTGGAAATTGCAAGAAGCCTAAGAGCTGCATCGCAGACTCTCCAGCCTCATTTAGGATGTTAAAATGTTAAAGTTCATGACAGTACAATTAGAAGCAGTCTGAGTGAGTCTGGCTTGTTTAGACAGATTGCCAGGAGAAAGCCTTTTCTCTCCAAAAGAACATTGCAGAAAGTTTCATCTGAACAAACCAAGAGATTTCTGCAACAGACAAACTCAACGTGAAGATGTCTGGTCATGATGTTCAGCACCACATTTTGCAGCACAAACGCCTCACACCAACAGATAGTGATGGAGGTGTGATGATTTGTGATGTTTTTTTCAGCCATAAAACCCGGGCACCTTGCAGTCTATGAGTCGAATATGAACTCCTCCATATTCAGAGTACTGTAGAGTCAAATGTGAGGCAATGATGATAATGACCCAAGACAAGCAGCAAATCTACAACAGAATGTGTGAACGAAAAGAATTCAGGTGTTGCAATGGCCCAGTCAAAGTGCAGACCTCAACCTTATTAAAATACTGTGGAAAGACTTTATACTGTAGAGAAGAGCGAGCCAAGAGTCCTCCAGAATGATGTGAGAGACTAATAAAGTCAAACGGACACTGATTACTTCAAGTTATTGCTGCTAAAGGTGATTCTACAAGCTACTGAAGCATGGGATGTATTTACTGTCTCAAAGCACTGCTTTTTATTTGTAGGCGATGTAGTCATGAACCAAAGTCCTGAAATATAAAAAATACTGAGCCAAATGTGCCTGAAGACCACAACACATGAACTTGAAA